GAATTCCACAAGTTCAGGACGATATACTGGGGGTCATCGAGAGCCATCCGCTCATTTTCGACCAATCACTTCAATCTCAGATCGAGAAACTCATCATCCAACCTATTCTTCGGCTGCAGAAGCAGTTCAAAAGGTTTTCGTTGTCATGATCGATGGTCTCGATGAGTGTGTCGAGCGTGCTCATCAAGCCGATCTTATCAAGCTACTTGGGACTATCTCTAGCTCAAGGACAACACCTGTCATATTTCTAGTCGCGAGCCGTCGCGAGCCTCAAATCGAGGCCGCATTCGTACGCAAGGAGGTTTCGCGTGTTGTTCTAACACTCCCACTCGATAATTCTGATGTTGAACAAACCTCAGAAGATATCCGTCGTTTGTTGTCGACAAATTCAGCGATATCAAGGAGACTCATTTGCTCAAATGCCACCTCCCAGTCGATTGGCCCGCCGCGTCAATAGTCGAAGAGATCGTAGTCAAGTCATCAGGTCAATTTATTTTCGCATCTGTAGTCATAAACTATCTATCATCCCCCCGCGCCAACCCTGCTACTCAACTCGACATTATCCGTGGTATCCGCCTGCGAGGTCCATCTTCGCTAAATCCATTTGCACATCTGGACGCACTCTATCAACATATCTTCTCCCAAGTCGAGGTGCTTGACAAGGTCTTCGACATCATTGGATATGTGCTGTCCGGTGGATACCACGGTATTGAACACATGGAGAGAATATTTCTCCTTGAGGTCGGTGAGATCGATTCCCTTTTTGCTGATTTAACGGCCGTCATCTGGTGTGAGCCCCGTACACGATCAACTGCCAGGATGAAGTTCCTCCATGCATCACTCCCCGATTTCCTGAGTGACAGAAGCCGTTCGGAACGATATCACATCGACGTTGACGAATATAGGACGAGACTATTATGCACTTTCCTCGAGAGGTGTCCTCCAACATTGGATCCGCTCTGGTCTTCCGATAATCTAATGCATGCAATTGACCGAGAAGGGAGCCGTTTGTATGCAATCATGTACCTCCTTGAAAAGCAAAAGGCGTCAGAGCGACTTTCGCGGGCATTTATGAACTTCAACTGCAAATTCTACGCCGAAACCTTTCTTGACGGCTGGAGCGAAATTTGCACTGATACACTAAGAATTTTGAAAGGACTGGTACGCGACACCACAACACACAATTATACCGCACGCTAACATTGTCCTACAACAGAGATTTGGTGACCGTGGCAAAGTATATCGCCATGTAGTGGGCGTGTTTGCTGAAGAGTGTGCAAGGTACTGGCCCTTGATCAATGACACCGTTAAATGCGAGATAGAATCAGAGTCCCCTGACCTTTATGCGGTATGTAACACGTAACGTAGCAAAATTTCAAGTTAATATAAGAATTCCAGTTGGCGCATTTATGAAAGTGTTTGTCAAGTCGGGTCGGTAATTGTCGAAATTAAATTTTTTGATTGTGAATGAACACTGAAGCTTATATGATGCCCCATCTTACGGTAGTCGAGAGCTACGAGGTTCGATTTCGCGTTTGAGCTACGTGGTTCGGCTGATCGCGAACCGGGCCGACAATATTTCTTGTCCCTATCCTCAATTCAGTCAGACAATGCTCGAAATTCCTCAACCTCCTTAACTTTTACTGGGCTTAGGTGAGGGAAACAGCTCAATTTTAGATGTAAAACATATTTTATTATCAATTTATCAAACCAAATCTATTCATACGTGAAGTAGTCAATAATTATATAGTCTTGCAGGAGGTGATGCTGCATGTATTTAACAGTTTGCATCGTCACAGCCGCCCAATGGTGAGAGTTCCATTAGGCACGGCTCAAATCCTTGTGCGGCAAACGCGACGCCGCGTCCAGGTGCTCTCAGCGCGCCCACCAGATTCGCGCCCTTCTGTTGCGCGGGAGTTACCCCCGAGAACGGGTCGACAGACAGCAGGCCCGAGTTCGATTGGGCGCAGCAGCGGGCGCGGGCTTTAGCGCGGGCTTGGGGACCCCGCTCGTTCCGCGAGTGCGTGCGGTGGTGAGGGTACTCGTGCCGTCGAAGAAGGCCAGCCGCGAGGGCGCGACGGCGGGCAAGTGGTTCTGGCTACGCTGTTCCTTCCAAGTACATACCAGGAGTTCGTGATGCCCCGCATCTTTTGCTGCTGTTGCTTGGCACCTCGTCGTGGTACGTACCAGGACTTGTATAGCCGCTTCTCGGAGTCCAAAGCCGCACGCGCTGGGAGGAGCTCCGTCTCGTTCAACATCCATTGCAAGCGACGAGGGCGGGGCCAGCACATAGAGGGAGAGCAATCCCCGTTGAGTTGACCCCGACGAGTGGATCTCCACTGGTCCTGTCAAAATAATCAGCGGTTGACATCCGCAATCCAATGGGGAGGGGCACTCCCTTCAGTATCCGACATTCCTGGTGCATCCGTCTTCAGTATCCGACATTCCTGGTGCATCCGTCATTTGCGCGGTCATTCATTCGTTGGAATTCGTTCTTTCGAGTGGGGCGCTTGCTTTCAAAGTTAGAAGCCAGCTTGTTTACTCGTTCTCGTTGAGTTAGGGGGGAGAGGCACACGGCGGCGGTCGGTGATTGGGCGATGGCAGTGGGGAGGCAAGAGGAGGGAGGCAGGGAAATTGCAATTTCAAAGGTGTGACGCGACTCTGAGCGACTTGCATTCACGTGATCGGGCTTGCCAGTTCGGTGGACGCGACGTATTATTACGTAACACGTTCTCCTTGCGGTTCCCAAACAATTCCCATAGTTCTCCTGATGTTGAACGTTTTTCACCAAGAATTCTCGCCGTGGTACGCTGGGGCACCCTACGCCCGACTCATAACTTGGCCATCAGGGAGGAACTCGCAGCCTCAACGTCATCCCCAGCCAGTGAAGATAATTTAGACTCAATCCCTCCCGCGTCGCCGCTCCAAGCACCATGTTACCAGCAGCATCGGCACCATGTCAATGCATAGTGCGAGGTATGTGCCCCCTTATTAACTGTTCTGTAAATGACCCAGCCCGTGCGTTTCCACTGTTCCCGGAGGACTCGAAGATCTCCTAGACTCGCCACCATCTCCTGCAACACGTCGCTGGACGAGACGGCGCTCTCGCGCACGCGGATCGATGGACCAACGATGTGTCGGATGAATGCAGGAGATCCTAGATATCCATGCAGCATTACCTCCTGCCAGGAAAAACAGTAGTCACTGACTAGTATGTACTATACTTATGTACATAAATTGAATAGACTAATGATAAAATATGTTTCAACTTTCTCGTCTCAAGTTTGAGATGTTTCCCTCTCATAAGCCCTATAAAACTCAAGGAAGCTATGGAATTTTCAGCATTTTATGATCGTGAACTGAGGATAGAGTTAAGAAATGTGGTCGGCCCGGTTTGCGATTAGCCGAGCCACGTACCCGGTTTGCGATTAGCCGAGCCACGTAGCTCATACACGAAATCGAACCTCGTAGCTCTCGACTACCGTACCCATCTGATCTTGTTGAAGAAGGAACTAGATTACGAGTAAAAAAGAGTTGACGCAATATCCACCAAGCCGTAACGACTATATCTCAACAACGCCATTGCGAAAACACAAACTTAAATATTGCATTCTCACCATCCAATTGAATAAACGCGAAGCAAGTATTACGCACATGTATCGCATTACCATTACATCCCGGTACGACAGACCTTGAACTTTGGACCTAAAAATCGAAAGAACGTACATACCGCTTTCAGCATTGCACGCACTCGGACCGAACGCAAACTGCGCCGATAGCAACGATTAGGGGTATCCGAAGCCTGGCATACACGCTCGAACAGCATCGATCGCGCTCACGGAAGATGGACACGGGAACAAATCGGCGCAGGCTCGCCGAAATACGAGAAGAGACGGAGGGTATCAGGAACGGTACAGGCGCTAACATGCTTTGAGGCGATGAGAACGTACCCTACGATTAGCGCCGTTGTCTTTTCTCAACCTTGAGGTCCGTGAAGACTCAATGAAATGTATCATCTTCAAACGAGATCGAGGGAAAGCGGCACGCAGTCAATGGAGATTGGACCAGCTGGATGGTGTTTAACTGATCAATACGGTATTCGTTGCATCGTTCTGTTGGGGTGAAATGGGAGGAAAGAAAGATCAATAACAATAAGGGTGCCAGTATGAATTAAAGGGTGAAGGACGTACCTTGTGGGTAAGCCAATGCGATTCTGAGCGCGGGTTGGTCCTCGGATTCAGAGACTGCATCGCGACCAAGTTGCGTGTGGCCTATTGCCTCATCCAGAGGATCGCTAGAGGGAAATATGCGGGGTCAAAAGGGAGCATAGGAGGCACGTATGAGATATCACGGCTGGGCTTGTACTACTTATTGAAGAGCTGTACGGATTGGCGCAGCCGGCGCGTACGAATAGGGCGTCAGACAATTTTTATCGAAAATTGACTAACACATTGACGCGCGTGGGCCAGTGCAACAGATACTATCGTGCATGTCGGATAACATTGTGCAAGATGCACATGGAGGACTATGTGAGGCAAGTCTGAGAGCATGGTTAGAACTTAGCGTTGGTTTGTATCAAGCTTTGATCAAGCTTCGTTCCAGCTATTGTCAAAACGCGAGGCCACCTCGTACTTTTCGTTCAAGTGGCGCTGTCCACTCTTCTGACGTCAAGAAGCACGGCGAAGTGGGGTAGAACAGGGTCGCTGTGTAGATTGGGTGATAAAAAACTAAATAAAGCAAAAATAAAGCAAAAATTGGTTTGAAATCTAGCAAGTGATGCAGCTTCGTGCAAAACCACTGTTGAGCGAGAACGCGGCCTGCGTCATGCCGCCCAACTTCATCCAAATGGAATTGGTTGCGACCCACACCGCCACTTGAGCGAAAAGTTCAGGCGGCCTCGCCAACCTCGCGTTTTGACAATAGCTGTCATAAAATGTGGCAGGAAAGTAATATTCGAGGCAGGCAAATTCTGGAGAGAAGGCGGACTCTGAAATTTCGTAGGCGCTGTAGTGTAGCGGTTATCACTCAAGATTCTGATGTTTTCAGCTCTGAGTTCTTGTAACCCCGGTTCGATTCCGGGCAGTGCCTCTTATTGAAAAATGTTATGCTTCCTTTTTGGCGTTGATGGCAAGAGCATTGTTGTGGGTTGTTAGGCCCAGACGGCTATTGTCCGCCATTGTGCTTGGGCCTGCTTGTCGCTTGTTCTCCAATTCTGCGCTACCACCAAGCTACCACTCATCTCTTTCCATCTCTTCCCCAACACCACCCACAGATGCTCGATTCCTCTCCCGTGTCCCTCCCCGCCCGCCGGCCGCTGAAGCGCTCCGCATCGACAGCCTCGCTCGCGTCGCTGCCCACCCCTCCTCGCACGCACAGGAAACACGCTCGCGGCCGCTCCAGGGGCTCGTGCGACAGCGACAGCGACGACCACGCAATCCTCTCCACCGACGACGAGGCCCCGGACGCCCCGCGCAAGCCCAAGAAGCGCAGGACAGGCCCTGTGCCCGCCGACGAGGACGCGTTCTGGCTGGCTGGCCCAGCATCCACAACGACAGCGGAGGCTGCGACGGCAGGATCGTCGCAGGTAGCCAGCGCGGGTGTCATCGCCGCAGGGATGGGGAAATCTCACCCTGCGCCTCTGCTCTATCGGCGGATGATGGCCCAGCAGCAGCAGCAGCAGCAGCAGGCTGAGGTGGCACCCGTGTCCCCGCCGCCCTCGCATCGCAGGCCTGCGCCCGTCGCGTCTCCGAAGCGGGAAAGCGCCTCCGACACCGCACCGTCGCCACCCACGACGCCCCGCACGCGCTCCGCCACGAAGCGCGCCGCGTTGCTGCGCGACTCGCCTTCCAACCCGTTCCTCGCCACGCCGCAGAAGACCACGGCCGCGGACAGTGCGAGCCCCAGTCCCGCCGTGAGCAGCGCCACCCCGAGCCCGCACACCCCGCACAACCACGAGAAGCCGACTCTGACCTACGTATTGTGAGTTTTCTTCCGCCCCTCCTATCACTGCTGGAGGCAATGGTTGCTTCTTTTGGAAACAGCCTATTGTGTGAACAGGTTCTAAGGCTGTTCCCGAAATATTCTCGTGGAACAGCCTATGCAACATGTGCTGTTTCCGGGCTGTTTTCACTTGGACCAATAATCGGCTGTTTCCAAAAGCAGCAGCCATTGCCTCCAGCATTGTCCAGCAGTGCATTGAGAAACCTCTAGCTCATTACTTCTCTCCCCTGACGCAATTAGCCGCGGCGTGCGCCGCACGTATCAGAACCCGCTGTACAACCACGCCGCAGACAGGCCGCTCTCCCCGCCCCCGGCATCCCTCCTCCCAATTGATCACCCCGAGTACTCGCCGCCGATTCATTGCACGCCCAAGCTCCTCTTCCCCGCTGCGCATCGCAACCTGCGCAGCAAGAACGCGAGGAAGACGGCCGCGGCGCCACGTGCGCGTTCTCCGTCGTTCAGTGGCGACGAGCTGGAGGGCGATGAGCTACAGGGGGCTGGTATTAGGCCGCAGAAGCTGGACTTTGGCAAGGCGGAGAACAAGGATGCTAAAAAGAAGGATGGGAAGAAGGCCAAGGCACAACGGGTCCAAACCCTCGATCAGGAGCTGAAGGCCGCCGGCGACGACGTGTTCCTCTGATCGCCTTGCTCTGCTCTTTCGGTGTCGACCGTCTTTCAATCGTTGCGTGCGTTCCTGCGAGGGCCACTTCATCCCATCTCTTCCCCCCTGCGCGTCGTTATCGTTGTTTGCCATCATCTTGCCTCGTTTTGTCACCGACCACCCCATACACTCCCTTGCTCCTTCAACTTTCTCCTTTCCCTTTACCTCGATTTGCGACACCTCCTCTCTAGTTTTGTATTCTGAACCCTGAATCGTCTTGCCATCCATCCTATTGCGTCACCCCATCCTACAATTTACACCTACCCTCACGCCGTGATACACCCCGCACATCCTAATCCTCCGCCGCGCCGCCTGCGGCTGCTGAACCGGGTCTTTGGCGCACATACAAATTTAGTCGGACGCGCGGATCCTTTCAAGCTGACCACAAAGCGCCACTCGCCGCCCGTCCTTTCCTTCCTTCGCCTTGACCCCTCTCTCCATCCTTCTTGCACCCACGCCACGCCGACGACTTAGACTTAATTGCTGACCGACGCGCCTTGCCTGTGTCGCTCGCCCAGGACGGGTGGGTGTGCACGCGAGCGCGGTATGTATGATACATCTCATCGTCGTTGTTGTTGTTGTTCCATATGTACTGTTCGTCCTCGATCCCGGTCTATGATTTATGGTCTATGGTCCGACTAGTCACTACTTACTGTTTCCTGCCCGTCTCGCTGTGTCGGTGGTGGTGGACCCGTGTTGCCTGATATACATATATCCTTCTTTAAATACATACATACATGAATGAATGAATGATAGCTACTTAAGTACGCATGCCAGATATATAACGTACCGTAACATAAATACAGATTTGGGAGACTTGCCTCCGTGGTGGTGCCTTTACGCCTTCACAAGTATGGAAATACAGAGATACAGAAGAAGAAGGGGGCTGCATTTTTTAGAGGCACTGGGCCTACAGGGGCTCACTTACTCACCGAACCTTGCTACACTTACTATTCAATAGAGTGTCACCCATCCATGTCAACGCTCGACGTCTCATCAACAGAACACGATATGGCCCGAGAAGTTCCAATCTCTCAGTAGCCTAACTAGTATTTATATCCTGGCATTCATTGATTATCATTCGATGCAGTGGCACGAGTGTTCCATCGAACTGATTCGAATCGTCATTATAGATGTCCGCGGCGCTCCCAGGAGCCAGGCCAACTGATAATTTCCTAAATACCACGACCGTCCCATCCGCAACCTCGACGCCTGTCGTCGACATTGGGAGTGAATCTTGCAGCTTGAAGCTGTGAAGCCCCAAACACAGAGTTCATGCGGCGCATAATTGATCCAGTCAGCTCATGGCTGGGCGGGCGAATGCTACCCTCAGCCTGTAGGAAACATCTGACTGTCGTCCCGTCGTCCCTCTTAAATAACACTACTAGGGACTAGTACACAAGCCAGCGATGGGGCGTCTGGTCTAGTACCGCCTAACTACGATTTGGACGCCGTGGCTTATGTGACTGTCGGAATACTAGGGGTGTGTTCGCCATTTCAATTTGTTCTGAATCTCTGCTGAATATGCACCATTTTCTGAATCATGCGCCCGTCCCATTCGCCGATCAGGCAATTATATGGGACATATTCAGCAACTTCGGAGAAGACTACGCGCTCATCCAAAGATCGCCTATCGGTTTACCTGTTATTGTATAGTTTCTTTCTAGGTGAGTGTCTCATTTTACTTGACGAAACCAAAACCAACAAAATACTTTTCGCTTTTTCAGGATAACGATTTTGTCCTGCTTTGTTCTTATAGTCATATTCAGCAGTATGCTCCATCCTCCTTGTTCAAAATCGAGGCATACCATTTACTGACATTTCATGATCTTCTCAGCAGGCACTAACATGGATTGTGCCACATTATTACGCGCAACACACTCGACATTCGCATTCGGTCTATCCCTAACGACGCTTCTTCTGGCCCTCCGCGCACGCGCAGTGTTCCAGGCCCAAAACCGCGTCGCCAATCTGCTCTCCGCTCTGTGGCTTGTGGTGGTCGCCGCTGCCTTGGTGGAGCGGTTGATGTTGGGGAAGGGAAGACTGATTGGTGCATCGATGCAGAGCTGCGATCTGAGAGCGCATCGAAATAGTCATTAAATAAAGTGGTTAATTTTATTGCAGACATTCAAAGAGTACAAGCGACGACAACTGACGTGCATCTGGCTCTCTATACATATGTATGGTAGCCAGCGTAGAATGTATATTTAGCCTATGTTAGGGTGGAGATTCCTCCACGCCCTCAGTATGGAAATACTTGCAGATAAGAGGACTGACTGCATCTGTCAGAGGCACTCTTGGTCTGGTAGCAGCCTCCTCGATAGATAAACCCTAGCATAGCTATACTCGTATACTTACTGACCTCTTCAAGTTTACCATATCGTCAATCGGTGGCGTTTTAATAGGCTAGCGCTGTTGTCTCGAGCGCTTCCCCGTATTTCACCTGGTACCACTGTAACTGTCTCTTTTACTTTCTCTTTTTTTTCTGTTCCCTTCTTTTCTTATTGTCTTTGATAGGACAATCCATATATTTCATTTTAACCGGTGCTACTTTCGATAACATCCGGACAGGGTCCTCATGAGTACATTGGCTCAATTGGTTGGCCCAGGGTTGGCCATCACTTAGACTGAAAGAGTGGCGGACATGCTACATCATAAAAGAAGCCCCTACTGGTCTGCCTCGATGCATCCATCAATGCTTCCCTTCCCCATCCACCAACAACTCCTTCCTCGTTGTCCTCCCCAATTTTATGCTGCTCCAAATCTACACCTCTATCCGATTCCGTGCCGGCGCTGCTATCGGCACTCGCGCGCGGAAAGAAATGAGTCCAAGGGACAAATCCACCGCGGTTTCCAGCCTGCGCACGCGGGGCCGCGTCTTGCAGTATGTCTTGCACACAATAAGGTGCATCACGCCGACGTTCAGGAAGCCGAGGAGGGTGCTGACAAGGTGCTGAACTCGCACCTTTGGCAGCAGTTGCTGCGACCATTAGGTGGGGTTCCATGTCACTAAGGAAGCACCTAACAGGTACAATCGAAGCGCATCCCCCTCACCCAAATCCATAAGTAGACAGCCCCTATTATCTGTCAATCCGCGCAGATGGTGCTGGCATCTCATAACGATGGTGCGGATTGTGTATATAATATCATCTTTTTCATCTAATTACATTGCAATTACATGGTTGATATTCTACTGAGACCCATCCAAGCACCCACACCGCAAGTCAAGCGTCCCCATGCCATCGAGGCTGCAATATTTGCAGCCTCGTTGTACATGCAGACAGTATCCCGCGGTGGCAGCAGCTGGCAATGGAGGGTCTCGTTGTGGCCTCATTGCCTCATATCACCGTTGCCTCGTGGCCTCGCATCGTCGTCGCCTTGTATTGTTGTCGGTTCGTATCATTGTCGGTTCGTATCGTCGTCGCCT